ATGTAGATCTCCTTCTAAGTTTATCATTTAGAAGGTGATCTTTATGTCCATTTGATAAAGCTCAAAGTCATACAGAGCCACCATTACCATTATAATTTTCAAGGAATCTTTCTTTGAAACGAGACATAATGCTTCCTTGTAGTCAATGCCTTCCTTTTTGGGTGTAACCTTTAGAAACAAGTCTAACTTTATATCTTTCGATATTACCTTTAGAGTCGTGTTTGGTTTCGAAAAACCCATTTACACATAACTCTTTTAGACCATTCAGGTAATTCTACTTAATCCCAAACTTTATTGTCATCCATTATTCTTTTATGGCATTGATCAATTTTTCAGAATTTACACTTTTCATGGCTTGTGATTCATCAACCATAGGTTGTTCTATAATTTCTTGAGTGTTTGTAACCGATTCATTATCAAGTGAGTTTGGATCATTTTGTTATTCATCCAAGTTACATGACGTTACTGTAACAAAATGAATAAAAACTATTGATGGACTCTCGGGTTTGGACTGTTCAACCCGAGCTTCTTTGACATCCAAACTTTGCAGTTCTAAACTCCCACTAACTTAATCATTTTTAATGAATCGAGCATTGCTGGAATCAACTATTCTCATATTATGGTTAGTCCTGTAAAACTTATATCCTTTAGAACATTTCGGATAGCCAATGAATAACCACTGACTGTCCTAGAAATAAGTTTCTTTTCATGTGGATTATATACTTTTATTTCTGCTTGACACCCCCAAATATGAAGGTGCCTCAAACTAGGTTTTCTACCCGTCCACAGTTCATAAGGTGTCTTAGGAACTGCCTTACTAGGAACTCTGTTTATCCAATATGCAGTAATCTTTAATACATGCATCCACATAGAAAACGTTAATGTTGAATTACTCAACCTACCTCTAACCATATTCTTTAAGTATGGTTTATCCTCTCAGCAACACCATTATGTTGAAGAGTCTCAATTATAGTGTATTGCACACAAATATTTCAAATTTCAAGAAACTTTGCAAATGGATTAGGACATTATCCTCTTTTATTGAACTTACAATAATATTCACCACTCTAGTGAGATCTCACAACTTTTACTTATTTATCTAACTACCTCTCCATCTCATCATTGTATATCTTTAGATAGTCTAATGATTGAGTCATTTCATATAGTAGATAAATATAACTATAATGTGAGAAATCATTTATAATGGTGATTAAATACTTTACATCACCTCCACAAAGGGACGTTAAATAGACCACAGAAATTAGTGTGAATAAGTTATGAGATTTTAGTGCTTCTTATGACAAATCTCTTTAATGTATGCTAGTTTGCTTTTCTTTAATTCATTCTATACATACATCTTGATCACTAAAATCCAAATGAGAAATGGTTTCATTATTCACCATTCTCAAAACTTTTCTTCAGATATGTGACCATAATCTTTAATGCCATAAGAGAGTATAATATTCATTGTGTGCAATAATTATGAGATGCATAAGTAGTTGCACAGAATCAAGCCACCTATTATTGGGAATCTTTAATAAATTTGATTCACAACATACGAAAATTTAATGTATGTCTTTCTTTTCGAATCAAGATTTTATTTTGGGCAATCTTTCCTGAGGTGGCCTAACCTTTTACAGAAATAACACCTCATTTCTTTAATGATTGGACCTATAAAAACTTTAAGTAAGTCAACCTTCTTTTATTTGCCTTCATTTCCCATTTTATCATACTATTAGTGGCTCCCACATGAGAATTGACTTTTCTTTCATCTCATTTATTCCCGCCTCTTCCTGCACCAGCATAGCCTTATTTTCCTTACAATCCCATTTATCTTTAATGGTGTTACAGTTCACCTAGGATTGGCCAAATTGGACAGGTAGGGAGTTCATGATGAATAGAAACATAAATGAGTCTATCACATTCATTCTCATGTTTGTAAGTTTAGCTTATATGTGGAACACATAGGTCACGAGATCATGGATGGAGCGGAATCAGATGAACTTGTATAGTGGAGAGTACATTCATGAAACTTCCCACAAGACTTTTTCCGCAATTTTAAATGGAGATAATCCTTGATTTTTATTTAGGAATTCTTTTACATTATCAGCCTTAATATTATCCGCCATGATTAACTTCATAAAATTCAAATACAACCTATTTGATCGCTCACATGCCCTACGAAGAGTTACCTCTACTTCGGAGCTCTCATCAGTAATGGTTGTGGGAACTTCATCAGTAATTAGAGTCATACTCAAATTCATTGCACCTAATTGAAAATGGATATGTTTAGACCATTCACTGAAGTTCAGCCAATTGAATTTTCCAACTATAATATTGTACGGATAACCAAATTTTGAACGCTGCAAACTTTAATACATGCTATTTTATTATGCTTTGATAAAATTTTATGGATTCAGAAATATTTTAGATTATATATTTAAATAACCTTTGGGCAATACTTAAATATATAATGTATTTAATTAATGTCTAAGAGGAAATAATCTTTAATAGAAATTACTAGAATTGTGATCAACTAGTGGTTATCTTTGGACAAACACACTAATTAACCTAACTTTAATATAATTTCTCTTTTAGTGTCATATATTACAAACCATGGCCCACCTTTGGGTGTCCTCCTAGTTTATAATCTACAACATCAATTATTCAAATATTATAATATTAGGGTACATTAATAAGACATCGTCTTATATTTGAATAATTGATATTTTTATCTAATTTAATTATCTATTCCATAAATTAAACTAGGCCACTTTGGTGACTAACTAGTTTCTTACATAGATAATATAATTAGATAATATTTTATTTTAATTATAT